GTTTGAAGATTTTGATGAGTTGTTTTAAGATTATGGTAATCTGTTTGAAGATTTTGATGAGTTGTTTTAAGATTATGATGATCTGTTTGAAGATTTAGATAATCTGTTTGAAGCTCTTGAAGTTTTTGGTGATCTGTTTGAAGATTTCGATAACCTGTTTGAAGCTCTTGAAGTTTTTGGTGATCTGTTTGAAGATTTCGATAATCTGTTTGAAGCTTTTGAAGTTTTTGATAATCTGTTTGAAGATTTTGACAAGCCGTTTTAAGATTATGGCAATCTGTTTGAAGATTTTGATAATCTGTTTGAAGCTTTTGAAGTTTTTGATTATAATTAGCTTGTTTTGGCTTAGATTTATTTGGAAATTTTAATAAGTTCTTAAGCTTAAGTTTCCACTTCTTGCCATTCTTTTCCAAATTTTTCAATTCATTGATTTCACTTTCCACTTCGTTAATTTTATTATCCAATTCATTACTTTTACTTTCCAATTCACTATGTTTACTTTCCAATTCTTTATTTTCTAATTCATTGATTTTATTTTTTAATTCATTATTTTTATTTTCCAATTCATTTATTTTACTTTCCAATTCCAATTCATTTTTATTATTATTTAATTCATTATTATTGCTTATCAATCCATTAATTTTACTTTTCAATTCTTTATTTTCCAGGTGTTTTTTTAAATTACCGAAAGCATCTTTATCAATTATATAGTACTCTCCAAGATTAAGCGAATCTGCTGATTGTTTTTGTATGAACTTTTGTAATAATTGCTGTAGTATAAATAGTTGCTGAATTCGTAAGAGTTGTTGTTGTGTTTCTGAGAGAGCAGAGTAATGGTGGCTTGTGGGATTTTTTTGATATTGTGAGAGATGTTTTTGATATTGTGAGAGAAGTGATTCATATTCAGTGGGTTGTTCTAAAAAATGATATGGCAGTTGTTCTGTGGGTTGATTCCATTGTTTTAAGTGTTGTTGCAGTTCTTGAAAGAAATTTTGTTGTTGTTTTAAGAGTTGCAATGTTTGTGTGAATTGTTGATTTGTATCATAATCAATTATACTGTTATGACTTGTAAATTCTTTTAAAGTGCCTGATTCCATTTTAAATTTAAACTTGAAGAGAATAAATAAATACGGATTTTTAGTACGACAAAAATGTATTATTCAGGGATGATCGTCAATGTTTTAATAAATAAAAAATAAATGGTTCGCGAAAAAAAGTTTGTATTCAATATTAATTAATGAATAATATTAATAATGCATCATCATGATGTTTTCTTTTTCCAACATTCATTATTTTTCTTTCTTTTTGGTAAATTTCATGGTAATCCTTTCTTTTCTTAGATTAAGCTTCAAGTGTTTGAGTATCATTTATTTTGAAAATGTAAAGAGCAATTTTTTCACCTTGTTCCTTCTTCAAAATACTTTTAATGTGCTGTAATTTTTGGAGTAGTTCTATATCACTTAATATTAAGAAGATAGCAAATAGGAGATTTTAACAATCACATTACTAAATTTTGATCCCTGAAATCTTTGGTGATACAAATGTTCACTTTGTCTGGTTTTGTCCCAAATTTCGGAACCCATAGTTTTTAATTATAGGTTACACTTATCAAAAAATCAGATGATTTTTAGATATGCGTAACCCAATCACTAACCATAGTAATAGAAATAAATTAAATGTTGAAGATCGAAAGTTTTTAAAGTTTTGTGACATGATTTAATTATAAAATAAGATTTAAAATAATTTTAATAATAATATAATAAAAACAAACATAAATAATTCAATAATTCAATAATTCAATAATTCAATAATTCAATTATTAAAAATGAATTCAACAATTGTAAACGAAAACCAAAATCATTTAAATTTTGCAGAGGAATGTTGGAAGGGATGGTTTGATTATTTTGAGGATGAATTATTCGCAACAGCTTTAATTTCATTTATAATGCATGAGGTTGTATATTTTGGTCGGTGTGCACCTTATTGGATAGCAGATTTTATTCCATTTTTTCATAAATATAAATTACAACCTGTAAGTTTATAAATTATTACCATCTATAAAATGTATATCCTTCCAAAATTTTTATCTTTTTCACCTCTGTTTCTTCAAATTCTAATTTTATTATTATTGTTATCTTTGAGATAGAATAAAATCAATACAGTTTCAGAACATTGGCAATGTTTGAAGAGTGTTTTGATAGTGCATATTTTTTTTGATTTACCTTTGATTTTTTCATTTCATCCAATTGCAACATTTTTTGGATTGGATGTATCAGTTGTACCTTTTCCTCATTGGCAAAAAATGGCATATCAAGTTGCTATTTTTTTTGTATTTGAGGACTCTTTTCACTATTGGTTCCATCGTCTTTTACATTATGGTTCATTTTACAAATATATTCATAAACAACATCATGAATATTCTGCACCTTTTGGCTTAGTAAGTAATGATATGGTTTTTTTAGGAGTTAAATTCTTTATTTATTTACTTGCTGATTAATTGATTAATTGGTTTAGGCAGCAGAATATGCGCATCCTGTAGAGGTAATGATTTTAGGTACTGGTACAATTGGTGGACCACTTATATGGGTATCAATAACTCATGACCTTCACCTAGTCACTGTGTTCATCTGGATCACCTTACGGTTATTACAAGCAATAGATGCACATTCTGGATATGGTAAATATAATCATTATATTTGTTTCTTTTAAAATAAATTAATAAATTTTATTAATTTATATGCATAAACAGATTTTCCATGGTCACTTCGAAATTTCCTTCCTTTCTGGGCAGGTTCAGAACACCATGATTATCATCATATGGCATTTGTCAATTGCTTCTCAACATCATTCAGATGGTGGGATTATTTAATGGGAACTGATCTAAAATATAGGGCTTATAAAAAGAAACGGGTAGAAGAAGAAATGAAAGATAAGGTTGTTGCATCTTCCTTCACCGCCACTTCTTCAAACAAACAAAAAACTAATTGATTCATTGTATAATGTAATATTAAGAAAATTTAAATTTAGAAAATAAATAATAAATCATAATATAATATCAATTTATAAATATATCATTATTACTATCATATATATTTTTTAATAACAAAAATTGCAAATATGCAAATCTAACCTAAAACATATAATAAGAGAAAATCGTCAAGATCGGATATTTAAAACTAAATCTAAACACTCAAGAAACATAGAAGGGAAAAAAGGACAGATAGGGTCTCTAGTAATGGCCCTGTAGTAATGACCTATTTGTTTTAGGGGGATGAAATAAATACCTTCTTTGTCATTAATTTGTTCAACTATTTTAATCATCAGATCGCCACCACAAAGTATACATTCAGATGCAACATCAACCAAATCATTCTTTAAATGATCTATTTTAGGTACAGAAGCTGCATCTATCAATCCTTTTCCAGACCTCCTATTATGGTAGTCAGTTATCATGTGTTACTACATCTTGTGATGATTTTGGTCATATCTTGTAATTAAGATGTTTTGCCACCTAAAAATAAATACCATAGTAATTCACATTCTGATATGAAAAGCATTCCGACATAAAAAAGGCTATTACAAAAAAATGATTGGATATCATGTTTGCATGATGAATTTATTTATCTATCTGCAATTTTTTGTGTGCGCGCCCTTCCTTTTTTTGAAACACATTGTATATAAATATATAACATTTTAAATAAATAGACATTTTAATCTAATACCTTCAGCACTTTATCAATAAAAGGAATAAATGACAAATGAGTAGATGTACTTAAGATTGAAGGTATATTTGCCATTCTTTCCTGAATTTGTTCTTATTGATAATTTTAAGGTATTTTAATTATTATAAAATCAAAATAAATAAACAATACTATTGATAATAATGCTTTATGATGTTTTATAATAGAGCAAAATATTAGCACTTAAAATAGAATGCAGCAACAAATAGCAGCAAAAAATAAAAACCAATTACAATTATTTGGAGATGAAGACTGACAGTTGTATTTGTTGATATCATAATTGTAGTTGATCTGTTTTTCATAATCCATTTTCTTACAAATCTTACAAATGCACTTGATTTTACAATACCTGATGAAATAACTATATAAGTATGATGATAATATCTTTAGGAAATATCTTACTAAAATCATTTTGCACAAGGTATAATTTGCTCTTCTGTAAATGTGAAATAATGAATCAGGTTTGCATTCTAAATTAATAATAAATATTAATGATTAATAATATTATGTTTTTAATAAATTAATTATTAAAATATTAAAATATATATGTCTATTTTTATCCCATTTATTCTACTTGATTATTGTTAATAATTAAAGGCAAGTTATTTTAAAGAAAGTTTTTATTTTTTTTAAGTAAAATTTATTTTACTCTGCTGTAAGACCACCATTATATTCGACTCCCCTTTGGCCTGATACCTACCTCGTTCCCGCCGAGTGTGTGCCACTTGGGTTAGATACTTTCTGAAGGCAAGGAATATTTTTAACCAAAAATTCTTTGTGGTGATGGGAGGTCTTACTGTTACGTTGGGAGATGCCGTTACAGTAGATTTACTTTCTATACCCGAATAGTGCCATTGGTGCTATGATGAAGATAAAACAAAATAACATATTGCTTAGACTTTGGTTCTAACCTTTTTTATTTTCTTATGAAAATAAATATATGTTCAAAATTTGCATATTAACACCTCACGTTATAGATACATATACTATCATATTGAACTCATCCGTATATTAATCAATTCATTTCTTCTTAATCCTACACCTTTTTTATTTAATCAACTTCAAAGTCAATGGGTTATATACTAATCTCTAATTCAATCTGCTTTAAGATATATTTAATGAGCAATCTCTTTATTATATATATATATACTTCATATATGTTGCTTGTTATATATATTATTATAAGATAATTAACATTCACGATTCTAACAATTTACCAAGCGATTGGAGGGAGGTTTTAGACAATTCTGATGATTCTGATATTGAGTGGGAAACTCAAGGTCTATTTAATCGAATAGAAGCTTTAAAGAATGATATTATTACTAACCAAAACAAAATGAGCATATTGGAATATAACAAGAAACGTGCAATTTTTGAATATTTAAACAGATTGGACAACAAAGGAAGAGGGGAAATGAATGCTAGCATAGAAACAGCTAAAATAATATTTATTGAAGGTAATCCAGGTAAGTCCAGAATTATAAGACGTTGGGCATCATTTTGGTTGAAAAATAATAAATTACCAGTTAGCAGACAAGGAAAACATCAAAAAACTATCAATTAGAAAACTATTTGAACCTTGAACTGATATATCTTAAACTATGTAATAAAATTTCAAATTTCAAACGTCAGCTGATGGCTTTACTTAAGATAAACAAAATGATGATTTGATTTTTCAAACTCTCATATCTTGTCGAATTTCCTTTTTTGGAAAGCCTATTTTCATTAGATGTGTACTTGTGAGTCCCAACATATTTACTATTACTATATACATGTATATTATTACTATACCATAAATTAAAAACCCGGGTCAACTGATGATTTTAAGAGGGCTGATTTTGCCACATGTAAAAACTCTTTGGTGGCTGAGATCAAATCACAAAATAAATTATGTCCATCATATTTAGTAAAATCGTGGGAAGAAATACAAGGATATTGATGATGGCATTTATGATGACAACTTTGTAGTTTATGTTATTTTAACTGAGGGCAAGCAATTTCACGCGCCTTTCTTTGGATAAACTATTAATGAATCTAGCTTCTTATAACTAGGCAATCAAGGTTCTTTGTATGCGACGGATTTAAGATACAAATCATTATATTATAGGATACAACCTGGAAATTTTTTTCCACCGAGGAATTTATATGATCTCAGCATCCTCTCTATGAATGCTATCTCCTTTTTGAGTTCATAAACAGTTTCAGTAGAAAATTACTTTATTGGGGTTTCCCTAAATTAAGGGATTCAGGTCACAGCATTGCTCCCTATTGTTATTCAAAAGTTGCTATAAGCAAAGGTTAATAGCCAGCATGAATGTTCCTTGGATTATATATAATATTCTAATTTTCTTCTTTCTTTCACTACAAAAAAAGAACATTATAACAAGCTCGGGAAATCTCATCAGGGAATGTTACCAAAAGAAAAACAAAGAACTTTTGAGTTGGATAAAAGAATTGAAAAGGAAATCATTCCACGCTCCTATAAAAGTTCCCAACTGGTTGGTGTTTGGTACACAAATTGATAGAACAAATTGAAATTAGTTAACTTGGTTGTTTTTATTGTTTTTTGCTTGAGAATTGTCTTGTGATGGTTGGGTGAATTTGAAACCTGTGTCAATTTGAAATTCACGCGTGTGAAATTCAAATTAACCCATAAAAATGATTAAAATAAAGATATTACTGTTTTTACAATTAAATTGATTAATATTAACGTCTCTAGGCCATAGTAGTAGTGTTGAATGAAGTAGCAAAAAACATGATTTGTAAAAATATGCCTTACATATACATTCAGGATCACTCAATAACCTGAATATGGAATTTGTATTTCAATGGCTTAATTTTTCACAAGGGAAGAATATTTTATTTGCTTTTATAAAATGTTCCTCAAAAGAAGGATAAAATTATCAATTTAGCCAATCACATTAATTTTAAATTCTACCAATCAAAATTCCATATTCAAATCCATATTAAAAAACTAGCGCGCCACAAAACAATAAACAACAAACTATTCTTTTAAAAATTTTTACTATATAATAATAGCAATAATAGTAATTATAATATGGAAAGTATGGAAAATCCTCATGAAGAACAACAACGAACTTTATTACATAGAATTGTTTTAAACATTGTAAGTTTTCATTCTTATAAATTTCACAAAACCTTATCACACAAGAATTTACAATCTTATTTTTATTCTCATAGAAAAAGCTTAATGATGCTTTAGAAGGTGTTAATGATCGTATTCAGGTTTTTTTTTTTTGATTATTATCAAACAATAATGATGATGATGATGATGATGATGATGATGATGATGATGATGATTAATATTTTCATGTTCATTTATAATTAGCGAATTAATGAAAATAATAATGAATTGGTACATTTATCACAATTCTGGATGAATTATAGCAGGAACGTTGCTTTTAATCTTGAAAGCATGCAGAAATTGCAAGAACAGGATTCAAAAAATACAAACAAATAAATAAATCAAAGAAAATTTTCTGGACATGTATTATTATTGACTTTTAATGCCTTCACTTTTAATTAATTTGATTAAATAAAAATGTAATTGTAAATAATAGTATATGTGGATTTAAAACAAAAATAATTTGAAAGTCAGTAGTACAATTGTGATGTTAAAAATTTTGATCCCGAGTCCTTGGTAATACAAATATTCACTTTGTCTGGTTTTGTTGCAGCATGCCCAATTTATTAATTGATTATTAATCTAAATGTCTAAATTCATTTGCTTAGAATCTACAAATATTAATTAAAAAAATAATCTTTGTGATATTAATTTTAAATTATTCAATAATCAAATAATTACCATTATTATTGCCAATAATTGTCACTTTATTGGAATTTACAGGTTGAGGTAGGTTTTTAAATTTCAATAATTTGCTGGAATAAAAGGTTTCTGGATGAGTGGTTGTTGCAATTGTTGAAGAATCAAATTTAATCTTATACATTTCTTCAAATTCTTTTCAAATTGGGTCTTCCTTGTTTTTATCTAATATTAATATTATATACCAAGTATAAATAACATCACAAGTTTCTCTGGCAGTTGGACGTTTATCTGGATTAGCATCCATGCATCTATATGCAAATTCAATATAAAATTTTGGGGTGTTATTAGAGAATCCTGGTC